CTTCTTTCCCCTCCTCGGTGTACTGTGTCACGCTCCTGAAATTTCAGAGCTTGCATCTGCTGTGTGATATTCCAGCAGCCTTTTCCAGCCGGTTTCGGCCCTCTCCCTCCTGCTCCCCTCCTCTTGTATTCTGGGACAGACTTATTCTTAAATAAAGCCAGCCCTGCCTTACCGCTCCCCAGCACGTGCCCCGTGGCTGGCCTGATTCCTGCCCTTGATGCTGCTGTTCTTGGTGGCTCAGCCTATATTTAGCCCTTCAGAGACATGGAGCTTTCTGTAGGATGGTTTTCTATTGATTGGATGATGCGGCTGGCCCTCGGGTTTCACTGCACCTTCCTTCTCACCAGCGAAAGTGACATGTTTGCTGAGACTTGTAAGGGGCAATTTAGAGAGCAGAGAAGACCCTGGGACTCAGCAGCTACTACCTCTCCGACATTCCCTGGGCCCTGGTCAGAGTGGAACCACGCATGGATCCTGGCATCACAGTCTGAATTCTAGCTGCAGCTCTGCCCTGGATCCTGGCACAAGATACCCAGTATTTTAGTCAGTGTTTCATCCCTGTGACCAGTGAAATACTCAACAAGAACAACTTACAGGAGGGAACGTTTATTCAGGGATCTCAGTTTCAAAGGTTTCTGTCCACTGACAGCCGACGCCATTGCTCTGGGCCGGAGGTGAGGTGGCACACCATGGCTGAAGGGCGTAGGGGAGGGAAGCTGCTTTGCTCAAGGCTACCAGGAACCAGCGGGAGCTTGGGGGAAGATGCACCCTTCCAGGGCACACCTCAGTGGCCCACCTCCTCCAGCCAGGCCCCACCTGCCTCAGCTGCCATTCAGTCCTCTCAAACTAGGATGGGCTGATAGGCAGCGGCTCTCAGCGTGCAGCTGTTGACTTCTGAACACTGCTGCCCTAGCACAGGAATCCTGTCCAGACCATCAACCCGACCTGCCAGAAGAAGAGGTTCCTCTGGTCCTGTGTGTTTGCATGTGCCAGGGCCCGTGTGGGTGTGGGGAGACACCGTAGGTGGGCACAGAGGCGGACTTTGTCCTGGTTTGTTCTTACAATGGGATGCAGCTCTCAGAGGACTCATTTTCTGCAGGGGTGGACCAGAAGTCCCCTGGGGCAAGCTGTGGGAATTGTCGCCAGTTCCCCTGCCCTGGGAGGCTATGAAACCAGCCTCGAGCTTGCTAGGTGTCTCCGCTGTCCCCCAAGACAAAGTTGGCCTCCATGTCGTCCTCCCCTGGGCCTGGAGTCTTCGAATCCAGCAGATCCTCTGGGTGGTCGTGATGCAGGTGGCACCGTGGCTGTGCTGAGACCTCTGAGCAAGATGTCCTTGGATGAGCAGGTCCTGTGTGTGTACCGTGAAGAGTGGCTCCTGGTGCTCCTTCCTTGGACCTCCATGGCATGGTTGGCCTCTGGCCTATCTGAGCTGCAGGAAAGAGTGTCACAAGTCTCATCAAAATCAGGCTCGCGTCTCGCTGGGGCCGCATCCCCTGATGTCTTAACCTCAGAAGCAGAGCAGGGCGCACCCACAGACTGTGGATACAGCCTTGAGGTGTTGTCCTTGTTTCTGTATTTTTATAAACAAACCCTGCAAACTTGTTCTATAATTTTCTGAGAATTGATATCCTGCATGCAGCTCTAATTTCTAGAATGACCTCTCCCTTTTTTTGGAAATAAATCTTAACACTTGTCTAATTTTTATTTCCTGTATTTTTATCAATACTCTCCCACAACTTTTAATTTGCATTTTCTTTTTATAAATATTATACTTTTAATGACATGAACAGCAGATGATTCAGAACAGGAATTCCCTGAGGGGGCGACTTGGACAGGGGTCCAGCTCCCGAGACTTGCTGTGGGGGCTGTTCTTCCAGCTTTCCAGCCCCTGGGAGCACCTGCTGAAGCCGGTGAGGCACTTCAGCCTCAGGACTCTCGGATGAGGTTCCGCCGGGATTTTGGAAGCATTGTCGTGACAGTGTCCATGGATGGACGTGGTTTAAACTGTTCATGTCTCTAGCTTCTTTCTCACATAACCTTTTGGCATCTTCGCCTGTGGGGCCAGCACCTGGTCATGGTACCTGCTTCTCTTTCCCTCACTCAAGTTAGTTTAAAAACACTCTTCCCAGGCACTATGCTCAGAACCAAGTGTAGAGCGCCCGTGTGGCGTGGGTTTAGGAGCAGACTGTTTCCCTGGGGGATGGCGTGCACATCGCGTAGTGTTCTAGACAGAACGGCCTGCCTCACCAAGGAGAGGTCACAGATGTCACTTCACAATGAGGCAGGAACCATTTTGTTCTCGTGGTCCCTTAGGTGTCCGGGGACAGTGGGGAGCAACCTGGCCGGGGGCCCTCCTTCCTTCTCCTGCCCAGCTGCTTTCTGTGGACACTGCCCTGCTCTGCCCTGCATCACCACTGGGTTCCCTGAGCTCCAGTTTTGTCTTAGTTCTTGGGACATAGCTAGGTGTCCTCAAGCAAGTTCAGACCCAAACGTCACCATGAACTCAGAGCTCTGAGCTCTCAAATGGGACCGTGTTGGTTCTTTTTTCTGTTGCTAGTTGAGATTCTGTTGAGTGGTTGGTAGACACCTTACTGATTTTAAATGATAAGTTAGCTGTATCGAGGTAATATCAGGAGAGAAATCTGGAGTTTCAAATGCCGTTCTAGGAGATGAAATTTTATTTGTGCTTGGGGTCCATTTTCTCTAAACCCTTTGACAGCAAGAATGTGCACACATCTTGTAAATGTTGGTAGATGTTTGCATTTAAATGTGTGATTTGAAATGTTAGGGCCATAACTCAAGAAGGTACGTGGCTGAGATCAGGGAAGCAGGGGTGGCCTGCGGTGCTGGTCTGTGTTGGCAGGAGCTCTGAAGCTGGCTTAAGAGCGTGGCTGGCATCAAGAGGAGCGGAGTTCATGGCCGTTTCCCCGAGGGCAGGCACTCGCCTTGGTGCTGCCAGCTCCGGCTGGGCAAGCCTGCGGGATGGCCTGTCCCTCGGGGCAGCAGCAGGGGGATGGTGGCCGTAGTGGGGGAGGGGGGCTTATTTTTTACTTGTGATTCTCCAACCTTCCAAAAGAGCTCCTGAAGCTCACCCGAGTGCTGTGAAACTGGCCTCGGGCAGAGACCAGTGTGGGAGTCCAAGCCTCCTTGGCCCGTGTCCCTGGCCACTTTCATTCTCCCCCTGCCCTGAGCCTCTGGACAGCATCGCATCTGACTCTGGCTCAGCAGTGTGGCTGCTCACGTTCACCTTCCCCCTGGAGCCCAGAGAGGTGCACTGAGGGGACTGTGACCTTAGGTAAGGCAGGGCTGGGGCTGTTTAGGAGGAGGTTGGGATTCGATGACTCACTTCACCCCACTGCCTCTGTGCTGTGGGCAGGGGACCTTGACCCAGGGAGAGGGTCTTGTACCAGAAAAGGAGCATCTCATTGAAAAGACAGATAATCTTCCCAGTTCCTTCTTCCAGTGGTGGGTCAGTGGCAGAAAAAGATAGCGTATCTGTGCCCAGCGGGTGTGGGGTTGGCTTTGGGCTCTCCAGCCACCAGCAGGGCTTTCCTGGTGCATAGGGCCGTGACACACCCACAGCCCCAGGGCCCCTGCTGACTGTTTTCTCTATTGTGAGTTGGAAGAGTTCACTACAAAACCTGAAAACCTGGAGCTTCCTGTGGCTCTGGTGGCCTGGGGTTCAGAACATCTGAGCTACAGTGCTGGGTTGTCCTCAAAGCCACCGCCCAAAACTGCTGTCAGCACGGAGCCTGCTGGCACCCAGGGTTTTACTTATCTGTTCAAGAAGTAAATCCTGTGTCTTGTAAGTGAGCTTCTGTAAACCTTACAACCAGCCAGAAGAACTGGGGCATAGTGTTTGCGTTTCCAAGAAAAGAACATTGTTTTTACCAAAGTGGCAAATAATCCTTCACCATGTGGAGATCAGGAGGCTTCCAGTAATGTCAGGATGGGACGCAGAGCGCACAGGCCCTTCCCTTCTCTGCTCTTGCAGTTCCTGGAGGGAAAGCTGTAACCTTAGAGGTGATTCAGACGTCTGAGGCAGATGGTTGCTGCTGGGGTTTCATTTGAAGCACAGGGAAGAGGCGTGTGGCTGGACAGTGAGTCCTGGGCTGGGAGCGTGAGGAGCAGAGGTGCCCTCCGCAGGACCGTGACCTAGGTGCCCAGGGCCCCGTGCCTGCTCTGCATGACTTCCTCGTGGCTCTCTGCTGTGTCACTAAAAGCGCCTTCCCCCGTGGCCAGGAGGCCAGGAGGAGCCTCTGGGGGCGCAGAGACGCCTTGGAGAAGAGAAGGCTCCGGTCGGGAAGCGGCTGCCCTCTGCGTCCTCACCTGACAGGGGCACTGGGCAGAAAGCCCACCCACCTGAGCAAGTGCCGCCCGGTGTCTGTGCCTGGGGCAGCTTGGCATGAAAGTGATCTCTGTCGAGGCTTCATCTTAAAGATGGAGGTTCTTGCTTCTAGATTGGAGAAAACTTTCTCACTTCTTCTAAAATATAATCCATAGGGTGGCAAGGAAGCGTTCATCACATCAGCTGTGTCAAAAACATCGGGGATAGTGTGAATGGGGAGGAGAGGCGCCCAGACCATCTGCATGTCACCAGTGACGTCACACGTGGGAACCTGTTTGTGCCCTTCTGAGCGCAGCGTGTAGACACTGAGCCGACCCCCTAGGCTGTCTGTTCTGTGGCTGCTGGTCACCCCAACCAAAGGTTTTGCTCAAATTGTGAAGAAGAATGGGTTTCATTGAGACTGCCTTTAGATTTCCCAGAGGTACTGGTAGGACCAAATGACAAAATTCCCTGCAGAAAAGAAACAATTAGAGGCTCACATGCCAGCACACTAACTGGAGATGATTCCGTAAAACCGCGTGGTGTCACAAACGTCCCTCCAATCTCGGAAGTCCGTGGCAGAGCCAGTCACAGTGACTGCAGTGGAGGGAGGCGCTAGGGCAACTCCCAGGGACCCTGCCCCTGTGTCACGGTGTACTGCTCTTCTCCGCAGGAAGAAGGCATTGTGAAGGAGATCGACATCAGTCACCATGTCAAAGAAGGGTTTGAGAAGGCCGACCCTTCCCAGTTTGAGCTGCTGAAGGTCTTAGGACAAGGGTCCTATGGGAAGGTAAGTTCAGCTCCCGGATGGGTGCAAGAGGGTCTCACTCCTAAGCATCAAGGACACAGGGACCACACCTGACAGAATGAGAAGTACAGATGGCCCTAGCTCGGCACAGCCCAGGTGACCTGCAGCCTGTGCCCATCAGGGAGTTGTGTCCAGTGGGGACCACCTCCACCTCAAAACCATGGAGCCTGGCCTCCCCAGCTGCTCCCCAAGGTTCCGTTGGTCACCCAGGGGAGCGGGCAGTTGAGCTTGAGCCAGAGCATCTGTGGCAGTGCATCCTAACAGCTAGCTTTTAAACAAAGCTCAAAACAGTAGAATAAGAGAAGGAGGAAAAACCCCTTTCTGGATTGGCCACCTGACATCCGGAAGGCTGGGGCACAACTGGCTCCCTTAGCCTCCGAGCAGAGCTCCTTTGCCTCTCAGAGTGTCTCCCCTCCTGCAAGACGGTAATGGGCCCCACCTTGTGTGATTGGCAGTTGCTGCAGCGTGTGTGTAGCCAGAACTGCTGGCTTCCTTTCTTCTTCCACCTCCAAATTTCAGCAATAAAAACTGATTTCTTCCAGGAAATGAGAAAGGCTGCCTTTCACTTGGGCCACGTCCAGAGACAGCAGATGCCAACAGGTGCTTTCACTCGGTGGCCTGGGGGTTGTTCCCTGGAAGCTCTGGCTTCTCTGCCCCGTCGTGTGAAGGGTGGATGGCAGGCATGGCCTGCCGTGCCCAGGGAGCCCTCTCCTCCAGGGAAGGGGGTCGGCCTGGCCCTCAACTGCTTTCGTGTGGCCTGTGGATGTCCACCAGACCTCTGCAGCCTTCCCCTGACTTTTTACTAAAATGCAATCAGCTTAATCCCACTTAAGGGTAGGATTAATAGTATGCTGATATCTGAATAATCTCTTACAGACCACATAAAGTTGTTTGCAGAAATTCATCTTTTGTCATGCTGGGTAATGTGGTAGGAATGTGTTTATTCTGTTGCACATCACCAGTATTCGGGCCATTTTGGTCTATAAAATGCTGTTTACTGCGGCTCCCGTAGTGTTTGTGAAGCCTCACTCTTAAATAGCCATCATGAGAAGCAGAACACAGAGCCTGTTTCAGGGGACAGCTCAATGTCTTGCCACTGACCAGAAAAATAGGAAAGATCATTTCTTGGAGAAATGTGATTTGAAAACACAGACAAGGGTTCTCTTCATTTTGCTGCCTTTCCGAGGTGCTGCCCACGTGTCCTTTCATGAGTGGAGTCAGCCTTTGCAGGCGTGGGCCAGAATTGTCTTTGCCCCAGCGCGGCACGGACGAGGCCTGCCGGGTTTCATGGCTGTGGGTGACCAGCTCTGTTACTGCTGGAACCACCATGGGTGCGACAGCCCCATCCCAAGAGGGGCACTGAGTTCCTGGTGACAGGGAGACAGGAAAAGCTTCCTGGGCCCGGGGAAGCAGACCAGGGCTCCAGGTGTCCAGTAGTGCCTGACTGCAGAACCATCACCCTTAAATACCCTGGTTGGAAAACTAGTGTATTAAACACAAAAAGAGAAGAGGCTTCCCAATTCCTTCGTTCAAACTTCAAAGTTTGAATTTTAATTTTGCTTTAAAAAGAAACCCTTCGGGGGGTGCTGGGGTTGTGGCTCAGTGGCAGAGTGCTCGCCTAGCACATGCGAGGCCCTGGGTTCCATCCTCAGCACCACATAAAAATAAATAAATAAAACAAAGGTATTGTGACTATGCCTTTGGCAGAATCCCCCTGGAGCGCTGACCCCCGTGATACGCCGCGCTTGGCCTTCCTGGCCCTCTTGTGAATTCTCTTGTTACAGCCACACGCGTCCTCATGATACAGAGAGTAACTGAGTAAGTTCGGAGGGTCAGAGAGGAGAAGCAGAAGGAGACAAGCCCCTCAGGTGGGTGTGCCCTAAGATGACCTCGATGGCCGGCTCAGCTCCTGCTCGCTGAGAGCCAGCGGTGGCAGCCAGGCCAGGCCAGGCTGCAGGACAGGGGAGCAAGGCTCAGGCCCCCTCTGTGCACTGAGTGGGACCCGGTGCAGGAGGCTGGTCCTCAGAGCTTCACTCAGGTTACTGGAAAGGAAGCAGAGCCCCCGCGGGAAGCAGCCGCGGTCAGTGTCTCTGCGCTCGTCCACGGAGGCTGTGTTTTCCATCTAGGCAACAGCAGCAGGCAGAGGACAAGCCTGGGCTCTGCTGCCCACACTCCTCCATGCTGCCAAGAGGAGACACCGTGGCCTCACGCAGGGGCGGGCCTCCTTTCCACCTCTAAGGGAGAAGAGTCCTGGATAGAGACCCGCATGAGTCTGGCCCTGCCTGCAGGTGGGCCCACTCACAGCCTGGCCTGCTTCTGAGCCCCCCACCCTCCTCTCCACTGAGTGACTGAAGACACGGGAGACGGAGAAATGGATAAAATGTAGCCTCAGTCCAGGCCCTCTACAGGATCCTCGGACACTCCTCTCTGCTTGTGCCACAAGAAGATTTTTCCTGTAAACAAACAACAACAGCCCCACACAGAACACACTGGAGGAACGAAACGTCTCTGTCTGTGGAATTTCTTTCGGCAGCAGTTGAGGCCTAGAAGCCGCGGCACCCCCCACGGAGCACTGCGTACTGGCGATGGCTGTAGCCCCGAGCTCAGGCCTGCAGGGCGCACTGTGCCGGGAACCCAGTGGGGGAGTGGCTGGGGCTGTGGCTTAGCGGTAGAGTGCTCACGTAGCACGGGCAGGACCCTGGGTTCTATCCTCAGCACCACATAAAAAATAAATGAGTGAAATAAAAGTATTGTGTCCAACTATAAAATAAATATTTTTTTAAAAAATGGCCTGGAAAAGCAACGAAGCGTGGCCAGGCCCAGCCGAATGCTGAAGGGGTGGCATGGACCTCCTGCTCTCGGGCGCAGAGGCTGGGCACAGAGCCCCATGCTCTTGGGAAGAGCGACTCCCCGCTTCTCTGCTGCTCCTGGGGCTCCCTTCCGTGGAGTCCTGGGAGTGGTCTGTAGGTCATGATTTTCACACTCTGAGAAGGAAGCAAACCAAAATCTTAAAGTTTTAGAACTTTGCTGTGACCCCGTGGTGGCAGCACAGGAATGGGTCAGACGCCTGCCTTCCTGCTGCTTGGCCCCCTGCAGACCAGCTGTCACACTCCAGTGCTGAGAGCATCAGGTGCTGATTCTGTGGACCACAGTGGTCCCCAATGAGTGGGGCGATTCAGGATGACGTCACATCTGTCCCAGGCTGCAATTGTGGCAGGTGTGTGGGCCACATGGCTGCAGGAGCCGTCCTAAAAATGTAGCACGGTGGAGTGTGCCGCTGGGTTAGGTGACTGTGTCTGCTGACGCGGCAGCTGTTCGGAAGCTGCCTTTGCTGCGTCGGCGTTGAGTGCTACAGTGCACGAGCCTGGCAGGGGCACAGAGGGCCATGCAGGGTGCGGCTAGGCCCTGCTGATTGTGTCTAAGCTGCTGCGGTCTTGGTGGCTCACCTCAAGGTGCCAGGCATCTGCTGCTGAGCCCTCTGCTGGCTGTGGGAGCACCTGACGCGATGACTTGAAGTCCTGGCACTAGCAGGAGTTTGATCCCATTAGTGTAGCGGAGCTGCCGCTCCTGTGAGAAGCGAGAGATGTCATGTGAGCACCCACACGGTTTGGCACCATGTGAACTGCATTGTAACTGGAAGCTTCTGGTGCCCTGGCTCTGGTGGTCCAGGCTCAGGGGAGTGAGCTTTCAGTGCTCCCTGAATGCAGTCAGAACTTCCACTGAGGAGGGCCACACCCTGCCCCTCACACTGTCACTGCCCCTCAACTGCGAGACTGGGAACAGCTGACCTGCAGCCAGTGGCACCATCCCTTCCACCAGCCGGCCGTCACTCACCCCATCCCCCTTGCCAGACCTTGGAGACCCGACTTCCTCTCCTGGGTGTGGGTAGAGGCTCAGTGGTGACCCTGCGGCCTCCCTGGGACCAGGACTCATCCTTCAGCCTTGCCTACCACCTGGACTCCTGCTGCATGTCCCGCCTCCCGCCTCCTGGGCACCAGCAAGGGGCTGATGAGAAGTCTGCACAACGCTCATAGCCAAGTGCCTGTAGCTTCACTGGTCTCCACAGTCAGATGGAAGTGCAGCCTCAGGCGGGAACTAGACTGTGCTGCGTGTGGTTGTCTTATAAGTATCAGGGAAGACTCAGGAGTTGGGCAGTGATGTTTCTCTGTCTGCAAATAACCCCTTCTTCTGACCACTGCTAACATGTTTCTTCCTGCCTGTTGGGAATCTCATCCCCCACACCAAGAGAGGCGTGGGCCTAGCAGGACATTTCCCAGGTAGCAGAGTTTGTCCATCTGTAGTAACTTGCATGGTTATGGCAGAGCTGTGTGTAGAACCGGGGTCCCCAGGTCCTGCAGGAGGGCTCAGTGCCTCATATCCTGCATGGCAGTCAGTGCCCATGAGGGTGAGCCCCAAGTTGTCTCTCCAGGCTGCACCAGCCCTGCAGAGGTGTGTAGGTGCTCCATCATCGCCCCAAATAAACACAGTTCTCAAAACCCAGAAAAGGGAGCCCATCTCCATCCGCCATGTTTCCCAGGACCCAGGCACCTCAGGCAGCACACCACTGCATAGAACCGGCCCGCCTCTCGGCCCTGGGCAGAGGGGTCCAGCAATTGTCCATGGACACTGGTGTCCCTGCTCAAGGAGGGCTGTGGTTGCAGCAGTGACAGACACTGGAGGGACGGGTGGGCACAGCTCTGGGGTCTGGAGGTGTGAGTCTCTCTGGGACACAGGGTGCAGTCTTGGAACTGAGGTCAGCTCTGTGGATCCACTTCTGTGCTGGGACCTGTGTCTTCTCGCCCCTCCCTCATAGGGTCTGCCCGGGACCCTGTGCTGCCTGAGTCCTGAGTGTTCTGTCCTCATCAGTGGGAGGCCTGAGAGAGCAAGCACTGGGCACATGTCCGTCTGTGGGGAGAAACTCCTCCCCTCCCCTCCCCACTTCCGGGCAGTGCACTCGGCTCACCGCGGCTCCATTCCACCAAGTCTGGTTCCTCTGAGCATTTGCGTCCAGCCAGACTGCCCCAGGCACTTGCTTAGAGCGGGTCCTCTGCTTTCTGAGGCTGAAAAGGGAGGCCTTGGGAGGGAGGCCGGCAGCTCTGCCCTCAGACCACTCCCTGTGGGCAGCCCCTTCTGCCTGCCTCGCAGCCAGAGCCTCTGGGGAATCCAGTTTCGCATCTGGAGGAAAATCAGCATGTTCTCCATTTGCCTGGGGACTGCTTTTCATAAAGGATGCTCTGAACGTTTTTCCTTTACTAATTTTATTCCAAGTAGGAAGGGGAGTTTAAACTTAGCCTGTCTCAATTCCCTCTTCTTTTTGGTTTTCCTCAGATACACCTCAAAAAGTGTCTCAGAAAGTGCTGAGTGTGTCTGAGAGCAGTTAGAACCAACTGTCAGTGACCTGAGCTGCCTGCAGGTGCGGTTTGGGTGAGGAGAGTCTAGTAAGGGAAGCTGGTGATCTCACAGGCTGGGCAGCACCGCTCTCCGGGCAGGACGAACTCTGAGTGGATTTCACGGGTGGGGGCAGTTTACAGAGGGTTATTAAAATAGAACAAATTATCTCCCTTAAAACTTTTGAATATTTTGTTTTTCTAAACATTCTTCAAAAAGAGAGAGGTCATGTTACTTCTAGTACCAAATAGAAAGTCAGTGGCAGCAAGACCAGATGGCTCTACGAACACGACCAACCGTGGTCCCCACGAGCTGCAGTGGACGGCTCCTCCTGGCAGTGCGGAGGGTCAGACTCCCTGCGGGGTCTTTGTGCTACGGGGATTCCTCTGTGGAGCCCCTGCCACGCCGGGAGGGCCGAGTTTGAGGTCTGGTCATTTCAGAGTGTTTTCTGCTTGCCAGGTGTTCCTGGTGAGGAAGGTCACTGGATCTGATGCTGGCCAGCTGTACGCCATGAAGGTCCTGAGGAAAGCCACCTTGAAAGGTAAGGCCCCAGGGCGCTGTTTGGAGAGGCGCTGAGAAGGCGCTCACCCCACGATGGTTCATGGGTTCTCATGGGTCCCGGAGCACATGGGCCCTGCTGTCTGGTAGTCGATCAGCAATACAAACGTCCCTGGGTGTTTAAGATATCCAGGCAGAATTCCCAGTTTTGGAGGAGAGCCATCTTGCGTAAACACCAGCCGTCCACAGATGCTCCTCCTGGAGAGCCTGGGGGAAGAGAGCGGCGGGCGGAGCAGGCTGCTACCTCTGTGTGCGTGACCAAGCCACCGGGGTCACCGGGATGCTCAGCTTCAGGTCAGGTGTGGCTCGTGGCCGAGCTGTTTTCCTGCTGTCCCAGTGACCGGGAGTTAGGAGTCCAGTCCAGCCGTGGCTTCCAGCCTCTTGCTCCCACCCTGAGGTGAGAGCACCACGCAGGTCAGAACATAGTGAGGTGCAGCGTCTCACCCACCTCATGACCCTGCACCCTGTTCGCTCTTGGTGAGGGGAGTATGCTGTGCAGTAGGAGAGGCTGAACCCACAACTCCTGGCTCTGGACACCCAGTTGGAAGCGGTTTATTAGTCTTTGCTTCCACCCAGGGAGGTGGCCATTAATGCCACACAGGTCACATGGGCTGCTCTCAGGAGCTGAGGCTGGGGAAGGCAGGCTGTGTCGTGCGAGGGCGAGGTGGCCCAGTCCCTGCACATGAGAGGATGTGTTTGATTTTGTGGCTGGCAGGGGAGGGAAACCCGCTAGGTTGCAGGCTGAATGGGGCCCAGCTGGCCCAGCCCACAGAGGAGTCAGCAGGCCAGGGGGCCTCGCCTGGGGGGGTTACCCAGCAGGAGCAGGGAGCTCGTGGTCAGCTTTGGGGTCCTGTAAGACTCAGGCAGCCCCTGGTTTCTCTTAGAGCACAACGTCCGTGGCAGGGGTGTGCAGGGAGCTGGCATGCTGGCTCCGAGTCCTGTGCCTTCTCCTGGGGAGAGGAGCCAGGACCACCAGTGGAGGGCGTAAGGGACAGACCAGATCCATGCATGTCGCAAGCGAGCCATGGACTGTGTGTGTGAGCTGTGCTCATTTGAGCACAAGAGGGGCCTGGCCTGACATTACTGCCTGGGCTGTGTGACTGACATGTGTGCCTTTTCCCTCGCTCTGCCTGTGATCCCACACAGCGCCTGAGGCGGGTGTGGCTTTCCAAGATGTCAGTCAGTCTGCTGACCACAAGAAATCACCAAGCAAGACTCCACCCTTGTTTTATTTGGGTGGAACTTTCTTGAATGTCTTTTCCCCAGTAAATGGAAGGTTTCGGGTGTGCTCCTTCCAGCAGTGGAGCTGACCCTTGGGCCACCGAGCCGTCCTGCCTCAGAAACTTATGTTCACGTGCTGCGTGGTTTCTTCACCGTTTTCTTAGTTATTGATACTCAAGCACCTTTGAACCCAGTCCATGTCACCAGCCAGCCAGCTGGCACGCGCGCAGACTGGGACTGCCCTGACGTGTGGCACAGGGAAGGCGCTTTCACACGAGGAGGTGCCAGGAGAAGTGGGAGGTGAGTGAGACCCAAGGTTCAAGGAGGCGACCACTTCCACAGAGGAGAGGAATCAGGGTGATGTTGTCAGCATGACTAGCAATCAGAAAATGTAGACACTGACCCTGGTGTCAACTGGGGTCCCATGCACGTAAGAGGGGAAGTCACTATGAGCACAGGCCAGGGTGGCTCAGGAGTCCAGCTAAGGATTTGGGTTCTCACAGGTTGTTCTGGAAATTCCTGCGTGCACAGAAGACTTGGGCACTTGAGTTTCTAGTTGAGTGTCGCAACCTGATTAAAGCCATGCTTTAGATTTAACATTTTTATCGCTTTACAGTATTTATATAACTGTTACCAGGTGAACATGAACAAATGTTTCAAGAGTCTCATGACAATGTTATTTTAAATAATTGCTGTTAGTAAGAAGAGGTATAGAAAACAAAGCAAGCTTTGACTTCCTATCCCCAACTTTTAATAAAATAACCTCTCTACTTAATAGTTGCCTCAGAGAAAAAGAAATACATGAAACATTCTCTAGTTCAGGATCATCTAAAAGTCCCAAACCAAATTGCTCATGCAGTTTCTCACAAGGTTAGACACAGGTGACCATGAGGCCCAGCTGCCCCGCTCCTGGGTATTTACCAGGAGAAATGAAAACATGGGCTACACAGAGACTGCACTGGAATGCCTGTGGCGGCACCAGCCAGTTCACAAGAACCCAGCAGTGGGGAGAAGCCAGTGTCCACCGACCGGTACGTGAAGCAGTGCTCTCTGCACGCAGCGGGAGGGCACTTGAGGCTAAAGGAAGCTGAGAGCGCTGCACACTCCACAAGCAACATGGTGGGCCTGGAAGACAGCTGCCCATGAGACCTGGCCCAGGGTCCTCGTCTGTGCTGCTCCATCTGTGTGGAGGTCAGTGGTTACAGGGCTGGGGCTGGGGACACAGCAGCAGTGTGCCTGGTCTTGGCTCCTTCTTGGGTGATGAAAATGTTTTAAAATCGATGGGTGGTGATTGTTCAACTGAACACATAAAAACCCCTGGATTGTGCACTTTGAATGGGGAAATTGTTTGAAACTCGGATGATCTCAGTAAAGCCCTTGTTTTAAAGGGAGCAATCCTAAATAGCGTGGGCCTTTGTTGGCCCACCCTGTGGCTTGGACCAGAGGCAGAGTCTTTCTGTGGTTGAAGATGGAGACTGGGGGCATGCTGGTCCACTCGAGCCAGCCATCTCCCTCCTGTCCCAGACTCCGTGTAGCCTCCGGATCTGAGCAGTGACCCTGGACAGCTCCTCCTGCCCCTCCCAAGACTTTCCTTTCTCACCCTCAAGTGGGTGCCACCGAGGGCCTCTGGCAGGACGGGGAGGAAGCAGGGGAGGTGGGATGCTTGAATACAGGAGGGCAGGCTGGGAAGCTGCCCTGGGCTCGGTCAGGTTGGCCCTGAGCTCTGAATGCGAGAGCTCACCACTGTCTCCTGACTTCTGTCCCCTTGGGTGTGTAAGCCTTCTAAGTGGCCCCGAGAAGTGGCCATTGACCCAGCGGGTATGGAGCAAGCAGGCGCTGAATCTGTCTGCAGGTGCCTCACAGGCGGGTGCTCACAGCAGGCAGACCCATTGTCAGGAGCTGGGCCAGAATGACAGCAGCAGCTCTGTCCAGGTCACAGATGACAGGTCGCTGGTACCTACCTTCTGTATTTCACATTTTCATTTTTGACTTTTTGTATATAAAGTCACTTCTACATCTTCTAGAATAGTTTGCTTGAGTACGCAGTATCATTTTTGCTTGTGAGAGACCCATGAAGACACAGAAGAATGTAGACATTTTCCATTGCCTTTTGAAGTCAGCTTGAAAGCCAACGTGTTGCATCCCACGCTGTTCTAACTTTCTATAATGGTCCACCTCCAAAGAACAGATATTTTTTCCAGAAACCCTGCTGCAGTCTATTTTCTTGACAAGACGGAAGAGGCTCACCGGACAGTGCTTTGTGCGTGGTGGCCCCAGACCTCACGGTGCTGCAGCTGGCCCTGTCATGGGGAGAGCAGGTCTACTTGCACCCCTCCTGCAGATAGATGGACGGCCACCCGCCCAGCCTCAGCCTCAACTCGTGGGTGGAGAAAGGCACTCCCCGCCAAGGTACATGTAAACCCGTTTAGCTCCAACACTTCTGTCTTCCAAGAGCCAAGCTGTTGGAACACCCGGTGGCTCACTGTCCACCTTCATCACATGGCCGGTTTGTGAGCAAGACAACACTCCTGAAGAGCGTGGCCCGGAGCCAAGGGACATGCTGTGACACTACGGTGGTGTTCCCCATCTCCAAGGGCACTGCCCAAGAGCACAGGCTCCCCTGGAGGGAAAGCGCATCCCCCTTGAGCCGCAGAGACACCTGAAAAGGGACAATGAGGGGGCTGGAGGCTGGCAGAAAACATGAGAATCACCGGAGACTGCCCTGTGGGCCTGCAGCTGGTGTCCACGTGACTACAGGGAGGGAAGTGGCCTCTTACTAAGTGTGTGTGTCGAGTGCTGTCACCACCTGTCTTTAAGCAGGTGACAGCCATTTCCAATGTCGTCAACTGCTCCACAGCTGGAGGAGGAGGAAGCTGGCAGGGGTGTTGGCGCTGTGCCCCAGCTCCGTGCCTCACCTCGCAGCGGCCACTTAGGACTGTTAGAGTCTTCTGGAAACCCGGGTTCCCACACTCAGGCCTCTCCGTGCAGTGGTTACAGGGAATAGTCCATGTTGCTCGCGGATCCCAAATGTAACGAATCCTGGAGGGGGACACCCCCACCCCATGCTGCGAGGGAGTTTGGTTGTTAACATGCCCCTCGCGGAGGACACCTTCCCAGGCAGGAGACCAGACAGCAGTGCCCTGGCCTCCATTCTAGTAGCGAGTTGAAAGGTGGGGCTGTCACCGCCTCGAGACACCTGTATTGTGTGGCCAGTGCTTCTCCATCTTGGGGCCAGCTGGAGTCACCTGGGGCCCCCAAAGCTGCTGGTGTGGGGCCACTGCAGGGGGCCTGAGTTGCTGGTCCAGCGAGGGAATCGAGGGAATCCTAAGCTGCCCTGCACATCGTGCATGCCGTGCATGCATATGTTCAGGATCAGGAAACCAGGACCCTGCGGCCACAGCCAGGGTCACCTTGGGAGCTTCCTCTCTCGCCACCTTCTCCCCAGGGCTTGCATCAGTGGGCACCTTCCTCAGTGCATGGAGGGTGTGGGTCAGCAGGCTCTGACAGGGGGCCATCGTCTTGCCCCGGTCCTGTTCTCACTGGAGATTGTGTGGGTGGAAATGTGGCAGGGCTTCAGGGGTCTAGGTTTGGTTCCGTCTGATGAGTGGGGCAGCCAGGAGGAGGGTGAGCCTCCACTGCCATCTGATCAGAAAGGATCCTTGGTTAATCCCTCCATGAGGAGTCCGTGTGTCATGAGAGCCGGGAGCTGGGCAGAGACCAGGACGCTCTCCCACACAGTGGTCCGTGGTCCCAGGGCCCCAG